CTTCTAGTCATTTTGCTCAGTGCAGAGTGGTCAAAAACAAGTTGTACTTGATAGAAGCGCGAACTCTTCTCACTGTAGCATTCCAGCTGGTCTCTCTTTAAATCTCAGGCTGAATTCGTAGATTTTCAGGATGATTTGAAGGTTATCTAGGTAATTTGGTGGGGACAGGTGATTTTGGGAACCCTACTCTTCCGCCATCTTGCCCCTCCTCTCACTCATTAGTTTTCTTTCTTAAATTCTACATATGAGTAAAATCATATGGTATTTGTTTATGTTTGACTGACATATTTCACTTAGCATTAATACTCTCAAGCTCTATACATGTCATTGCAAAAGGCAAAATTCCATCTTCTTTTTTTAGAGATTTTATTTATTTATTTGAGAGCATGACCTGGGGGAAGGGAAAAGGGAGAGGGAGAATCAGACTCCCTGCTAAGCAGGGATCCCAAGGTCAGGCTTGATCCCAGGACCTGCAGATCATGACCTGAGCCAAAGGCAGACACTTAACCAACTGAGGCACCCAGGTACCCCAAGATTTCATTCTTTTTATGGCTAAAAACCATTCTATTACATATATATCACATTTTCTTTATCCACTCATCTATCAATGGACACTCAGGCAGCTTCCATAATTTGGCTATTGAAATAATGCTGCAATAAACAGAGAGGTGCTCGTATCCCTTTGAATTAGTGTTTTTGTATTTTTTTGGGTAAAGACCCAGTAGACCAATTACTGAATGGTAGGGTAGTTCTATTTTTAACTTTTTGAGGATCCTCCATACTTTTCTTCCACAATGGCTGCACCAGTTTGCATTCCCACCAAGTGTTTACCAAGCTTCCTTTCCCTCCACATCCTTGCCAACACTTCTTGTTTCCTGTGTTGTTCATTTTAGCCATTCTGACATGTGTGTGAGGTGGTATCTCATTGTACTTTTGATTAGCATTTCCCTGATGATGAATGATGTTGAGCACCTTTTCATGTGTGTGTTGGCTTTTTGGATGTCTTTTTTTGGTGAAATGTCTGTACATGTCTTCTGTCCATTTTTAAATTGAGTTATTTGTTTTTTTGGGTGTCGAGTTGTATTAATTCTGCATATATTTTGTATAGTAATTCCTTTTTTAAAAAGGGCTTTTCTCAAAAACATTTTATTTATTTAAGGAGAAAGTATGGGGATGGGATAGAGAGAGGCAGAGTGAGAAGACAATCTCAAGCTGACTCTGCTGTGCAGGAGCACAATGCAGAACTTGATCTCATAACCCTGAGATCATGACCTGAACCAAAATCAGGAGTCAGCTGCTTAACCAACTGAGCCATCCAGGTGCCACTTGTATACTAATTCTTTAGCTGATATATCTTTTACAAATATATTCTCTCAATTCATTAGGTTGCTTTCTAGTTTTGTTGTTTCCTTTGCTGTGCAGAGGTTTTTTACTTTCATGTAATCCCAATAGTTATTTTTGTTTTTATTTTCCTTGTTTCAGATCTATCTAGAAAATTGTTGCTATGGCCAATTTCATTTACTGCCTATGCTCTCTTCTAGGATTTTTACGGTTCTAGGTTTCCCATTTATGTCTTTAATCCATTCTGAATTTATTCCTGTGTATGATATAAGAAAGTGGTTCAGTTTGATTTTTTCATATGTAGCTGTTCAGTTTCCCAACACCTTTTGTTGAAGAGACTATCTTTTTCCAATGGATATCCTTTCCTGCTTTGGCAATGATTAATTGACCATATAATTGTGCATACATTCCTGGGATTTCTATTTGATTCCACTGAACCATATGTCTATTTTTATGCCAATAGCTTTCTATATTTTTGTTTTTTATTTAAATTTCAGTTAGTTAATATGCAGTGTACTATTAGTTTCAGGGGTACAGTTTAGTGATTCAACACTTACATACAATACCTGGTGCTCATCACAAGCATACTATTTTGATCAATACGACTTTGTAATATAACTTGATGTCAGGAAATGTGATGTCTCTAGTTTTGTTTTTATTTCTTAAGATTTCTTTGGCTATATGGGTCTTTTTTGTTTGTCTCTATACAGATTTTAAAATTGTTTGTTCTGGTTCTGTGAAAATTGCTGCTGGTATTTTGATAGTTTTTGCACTGAATCTGTAGCTCTCTTGGGTAGTATAGATGTTTTATAATGTTCACTCTTCTCACCCATGAGCAAGGAAAGTGTTTCCATTTCTTTTCATTGCCTTATATTTCTTTTGTCAAAGTTTAATAGTTTTCAGAGTACAGGTCTTTCACCTCTTTGGTTAAGTTTATTCCTAGATATTTTACAGTTTCTGTTGCAATTGTAAATGCAATTGTTTTCTTAATTTCTCTTTCTGCGGCTTCTTTATTTTATTTATTTATTTTTTAAAGATTTTATTTATTTATTCATGAGGACACAGAGAGAGAGGGAGAGACACAGGCAGATGGAGAAGCAGGCTCCCTGCAGGGAACCCGACCTGGGCTCAAGCCCTGGGCTGAAAGCAGGCACTAAACCACTAAGCCACTTGGGCTGCCCCCTATGGGCATCTTTATTAGTGTGTAGGAATGCAATATTTCTGCATATTAATTTTGTATCCAGCAAATTTAATGAATCCATTTATCTGTTCTAATTTTTTTTTGGTGGAGTCTTTAGGGTTTTCTATATGTAGTATCATATCATCTGCAAATAGTGAATAAGTTTTACTTCTCCTTACCAATTAGATGGCTTTTATGTCTTTATGTTGTCTGCTATTTCTAGGACTTCCAGTATTGTGTTGCATGTGTGTTGAGAGGGGACATCCTTGTCTTTTTTCTGACCGTATGGGAAATGTCTCAGTTTTTTCCCATTGCGTATGATGTTCCCTGTGGGTATTTATTTATTTATTTATTTTATTGGAGTTAAATTTGCCAACATATAGTATAAAATCCAGTGCTCATCCCATCGAGTGCCCCCCTCAGTGCCCATCACCCAGTCATCCCATCTCCCCTCCCACCTCCCCTTCCTCCCCTCCCCTTTATTAGTGTGTAGGAATGCAATATTTCTGCATATTAATTTTGTATCCAGCAAATTTAATGAATCCATTTATCTGTTCTAATTTTTTTTTGGTGGAGTCTTTAGGGTTTTCTATATGTAGTATCATATCATCTGCAAATAGTGAATAAGTTTTGTTCACTGCAAATAGTGAAAAGCCCTTGTTCCTTTTCCAGAGTTAGGAGTCTCCTCGTGTTTTGTCACCCTCTCTGATTTTTCCCACTCATGTTCTCTCCTTTCCCCTATGATCCCTTTCACTATTTTTTATATTCTCTGTATGAGTGAAACCATATGATGATTGTCCTCCAATTGACTTACGTCACTCAGCATAATACCCTCCAGTTCTATCCACTGTGGGTTTTTCATAACAGACTTTTATTTTCCCATTAGTATGTTCCCATTAGTACTACTTAGGGTTTTTATTACAAATAGATGTTCTACATTGTCAAATGGTCAAATGCTTTTTGAATCTATAGAAATAACACATGGTTTTTTATCTTCTCTCTTATTGATAGAATGTATCACATTGATTGTTCTGTGAATATTGAACCACTATGCATCTCACGAATAAATCCCACTATATTGTTCTCCCAAGCTATTAAAATTTTTTTGTAACAGAGAAATCATCAACTTATTTATTTGACTTTAAGTAAACAAAGGTAGAATAAATATGTTATTTTTAATGCTTATAAACTCTAAAGACATTTTTATTTTTATTAAACCAACAGTCTTAAATTAGCTCTAATACTGAATATTTTTCCAAATCACATGAGCTTGAACAACATTTAATGTAATGTCCATTTTTCTGAGAGTTTTAGAACATTCAATCCTTACAAGTGCCTGCCTCAAACCAACCAAATAGAGCCCTTTTACAATAAAACACTCCATATATATATGGACACACAACTGCAGAGTCCTTGTCATTAGTAATTTTTGTGGAAAAGATTTTAAGATTTTGTTTAACTTATTAAGAATTAATCTTCAAGAGGCTGTGCTAGAGTTTGGGTGCATTTTAGCAGTTGGTGGAGTATTATTAGCAATTAGCAGTATTATAGAAAGGCTTCTTTCCCTTTTTTTCCCCTCTTAGTCTCAGGCAATTATGGGTGTGTTTCTATTTCAAAGACATGATAATGTGTATTACTTTAGGGGGGCAGAGAAAGAATGCAAGTTCCTCCAGGAAAGATTTGGTTTTCTAAGACCAATAACTCACAAGTCCTTTGAAATAAACGGAAAGTTTTCAGGTTGGCAAAAGAATAGGTGAACTTTGAATTGCCTCTAGAGCTGACTTGTATTTACGGTTTCTGTCAAGGCAATTCAGGTAGAAGATAACTTAGAATGAGTATTCAAATAAAGGAGGATAGTGGAAAGCATTAACAATTATATCAGTTTTATGGTCTTTTGTATTGGGTACTTCATTTCTTTTTTCTTTTTTTAATAAATTAATTTTTATTGGTGTTCAATTTACCAACATACAGAATAGCACCCAGTGCTCATCCCATCAAGTGTCCCCCTCAGTGCCCGTCACCCATTCACCCCCACCCCCCGCCCTCCTCCCCCTCCACCACCCCTAGTTCATTTCCCAGAGTTAGAAGTCTTTATGTTCTGTCTCCCTTTTGAATATTTCCCACACATTTCTTCTCCCTTCCCTTATATTCCCTTTCACTATTATTCATATTCCCCAAATGAATGAGAACATACACTGTTTGTCCTTCTCCGATTGACTTACTTCACTCAGCATAATACCCTCCAGTTCCATCCACGTTGAAGCAAATGGTGGGTATTTGTCGTTTCTAATGTCTGAGTAATATTCCATTGTATACATTCATTTCTTTTTTTATCAGCTTTTAGTAGTGACACTTTCAATGAAGCTATTTTGGAATTTTGAAGCTTTTGCTTTTAAGTGCACTTCTCAAGTTATCTTTTTTTAATGTATATACATATATTTTTTTTAATAAAATCTTTTTTTTTTTTTTTTTACGATAGTCATACAGAGAGAGAGAGAGAGAGGCAGAGACACAGGCAGAGGGAGAAGCAGGCTCCATGCACCGGGAGCCCGACGTGGGATTCGATCCAGGGTCTCCAGGATCGCGCCCTGGGCCAAAGGCAGGTGCCAAACCGCTGCGCCACCCAGGGATCCCTAATGTATATTTTTTTATTGGAGTTCGATTTACCAACATATAGTAAAACACCCAGTGCTCATCCCCCCTTAGTGCCTGTCACCCAGTCATTCCATGCCCCTGCTTACCTCCCCTTCCACTCCCCCTTGTTTGTTTCCCAGAGTTAGGAGTCTCTCATCTTATCTAATTGGAGTGTTCCTCATAAAGACAGCTATAATTCTAGGTTGCAATTCCCCTGAGAGCTGGAAGCAGTTTAGTAGGACCCTTGCCATAAATGGTGTTTAGCCCACATTTCTATCCAGCCATATCTAGTTACAAATAGGGAGTGGCTCACAATTTCCTCTGGCCTTACTTTATGGCTACCAATCTGAAAGTCTCCAACCCAATCTGTTAGGGACACAAACAGGATTATAGATTTTTATAGCTTCCAGAACCATAATTATTAGATATAAAATAAGCAATGTGCTAAAGTGTAGAAAAATTAACTCTGGATTTTAAAGATCCCCTTTATTTATTTTTATTTGCTTATTTATGTATTTATTTATTAGTTTTCTTTAAATTAAAGCTTTACTTTATGTACACATTAACAGAAACCAACAGCACTGAGGTAGTAGAACTGTGGATATAAGCAAGAACCAAAGAACTAGAGGCTGGGACAAGGATTGAACCGGGAGGCCTCCAAGAATGGGGACTGCAGTATGACGCCACACACATAAAGAACTGTCACTGCCACCAACAGTTCCCAACGTGGAATCTGAGTTCAGAACCAAGGGCTAAATTTAGAAGTTACTGCAGACTGTTCAATAGAGTGTCCTGTACACATCACCACCAATGTCCATCATGGATGAAACCAGCAGGTTCCATTAATGAAGACTGCAGACAGGAAATGGGGAACAGCCTAAGGCAGCAAAGAGCAGTAAATATAGACTGTGGCCTGGAAATGAGGAAGGGATACCAATGTGGACTTGTAGAATGAGCCAAAGACTAAAGACTGGTGCTCTGTCAGAGCCTCTGTGTTGGTGACACAGTGACTCATTAACCCTGAGGTGGAAAGGCAATTTGATCAGGAGTTGTAATGCAAAAAAAAAGCAGAACTCAAAGCAAGATGGACTAGCATAGCCCTTGGCAATGTTGAGAAAGACAGTGAACTAAAAAGGACTCATGGAGCCCTACACCTGTGTTTCTTGTTGTCCTCAAATACAGGTCAGAAGTTTACCTAGGATCTAGACACTGACACCAAATCTGTAAAAAAATAAAATTCAACCAAGTATATTCTAGAGGCTTAATGGTTTTATTAAATGGTTTATGAATTAGGCAGCTTCCCACCTATCAAATAGAAAGGAACTCCATCAAACTCCAGAAAAGGAAAAGTTTGGAAGTATAGAGAGAAAGCAGAAAAGAACCCATTGTTTTAGCCAATGTTGTCCTCCTAAGGGGAAAGAAGGGAATTTGTCAACATAGTTTTAGTTCTGACCAGGAAACAGCCATGTTGACTGCTGAAAGATCACATCCTTGGAGGTTGAAACTACTGTTAGGTACTAAGTCTTAGTTTACTGACTTGGGGCTTTAACCTAAGTGGCTCCATGATGGCCCTTTTTAGCACATCTCTCCATAGAACTGAAAGTTTTGTGTGTTGGGTCTTTGAGAGGATGAGATGAGAATTGTATGTATATATATGCACATCTAAGGATCACTGACATGGATTTCTCACATTCCCTCTCATTTCTATGCCAGCTGCAGAGGACACACTGCAAGAGGAATATAAGCTCCCAGGGATCGCATTAAAAGTACTCTGCCACTGCTTCCCTTGCATTGCTGTTTCATTAGAAAATAATAACAGAACTTCACAGGGAACATCAGGTGAGGTATGGAAACTTAACAATAGGGCATGGCTTTTGTGTGGTTGAAATTTGCTCATCACAGAATTTTGTTTTCCACATCTATTTGCCCTCTCAATCCTGTCATTTGGTTTCCTCTGCTGTATTTGTTCTGTTCCTCAGGACCTGTCTCAGAGATTTCATCGCTTTGCTGTGTATTTTTCCCCACATCTTCTGAGAATGCACAGACATGGAACCATATCTGATAGGACTGAAGTCTCACCTTGTTGGCTCCTTCCTAAGGCCCTGATTGTGTATGCCTCTTTCACACTGAGGCTTGCTCATTCTGCTTTGAGTGGTACCTGCTCTCCAAAGGGGTGATATTGTTTGCCCTTCACACAGCCAAATGTTGGCCCTGCACATGCCACCACATCCTCAAGATTTCCATTCTACTGCATGTGAAGAATATTCCTGCTGAGCAGTCAGAAGTGCTTTTTTCAAAAGTTGCTTCATAGCAATCTTGAAATGTAGATTCCCACCATTCTCTCTTCTAAGGAGAATGTTTGCACTCCCCATTCATATGTATACCAGTCCAGACCTTGTACACTTGCTCTGAATATTTCTTCCCAAATTTGTTTTTGCCATCCTCTCCTGAATTGTAGCCTATGGAATAAAGGGGAAAGGAGAAAAAATAAGTGGGAAATATCAGAAAGGGAGACAGAACATGAAAGACTCCTGACTCTGGGAAACGAATTAGGGGTGGTGGAAGGGGAGGTGGGCGGGGGGTGGGGGTGACTGGGTGGCGGGCACTGAGGTGGGCACTTGATGGGATGAGCACTGGGTGTTATTCTGTATGTTGACAAATTGAACACCAATAAAAAATAAATTTATTAAAAAAAATTGTAGCCTATGGCTACCAGGAAGCTCCTGGAGGATGTGCCTGACCCCTCACTTTTAGTCTAAGGACACTTCTCTAGCCTATATGCTGCCTAGACATCAGTGCTAACTTGAGGTAACTTGTTTCTTGGTTTAAAAACTCTGCACCCAATCTCTGCAGAGGATAGTATACAAATACTTCACATTACATTTAGTCCTGAGCATATGATTTCTTCTGGTGCCCCATCTCAAGGTACAAGTCTCCAGTGATCAAATAGGTCCAGGATTCCAGAACCAGCTCAGTCTGACTGATAGCAGGAAAAATGACAGAAGGACTTCCTTATCGTGGCTGGCTTCTTACAACATCCCATTCAGCTACTGCTTCAGTCTTTGCTCATAAGACATTTTCCACCAGTGGCACTTCATATACCAGTCAGTCCTCTAGGTGGTTTATCTCTCCTACTGGTTTCTGTTCCCTATTATATGCAGGCTTGATGGGTGATCTCAGACAGTTGGGGTGGTTCATAAAAAGTCCTAGGTGGATAGTCCAACATGCTTTTTTAGAATACGGAAGTCCATTTCACCTACTGTGACTACTCCAGGAAAAATAGAAAGAGTCCTTTCAACACCTTGTTTCATGAGCCAGCGCACTTTCTAGGTAAAAGAAAACACATTTGCAATCATTAAGCGTTTCTATCTTTTCATAAAGATACACAGTATCTTTCTGAGAAGGAAAGAAGCCACTCATCTTTATTTAGCTACCTCATATAAGACCCAAAGTCTATGACATGAGGTTGGAAGTTAACAGAAGGGGATTTTCTGGAGGGTCTCACACCACAGGTGGGAAGGGATATGGCGGTGAATATCAGTGCTGTCTTTTAGATTTTCTACCATAAAGAAGTATTATTTTCATAATATTACAAATAAAAAACACTAAAACAAGATAAAGAAAGGATAATATGGGCAGGAAAGTTTCAGTAGAAGAATCAGGCTCTGAAATTTGTCTGGAAGAATGAAAAGCATCTTAAACAAGAAGGGCTTTCCAACATAAGGGAAGTGCCTGAACAAGGGCAAACTGCATCCAGGTCAGAAGTCCACACAATGCCTGGACAGAAAGAGAAGGGCTCCTGTATACAATGTTGTGGCCAGGACTGATGTTATATCTGTCCCTAATGGCACAGTCAAGCCACCACTTGTTGTACTAACTCTTTTTCCTTCCCTCTTCTCTCCTCCCCATAGTGCCTTTTACTATTCCAGCCATGGGTCAGTCCCCTCCTTCCACACCCTCGAATAGAAATGGTGGTGATTTGGCCTCCAGCTTTGACAAGTTTTTTAAGGAATTCAAGCTGGATAGCAAAATTGTCTCTCAGGAGACCATCAGCACAATTCAATCACATCTGGAGAAAGGGGATCTTCAGAGTGCATTTTCTGCAATCAATGATGCATTGAGAGATATTGACAATGCCCCACTGAACATTGCTGTGACCGGGGAATCTGGGACAGGAAAGTCCAGCTTCATCAATGCTCTGCGGGGCGTGGGGCATGACGAAGAAGGGGCTGCCCCCACTGGGCCAGTGGAGACAACTTTTCTCAGAAAGGCCTATAAACACCCAAAGTTTCCCAATGTGACATTTTGGGATCTGCCTGGCATAGGGACCACTAACTTTCAGCCTCAGGACTATCTGGAGAAAATGGTATTTAGGGAGTATGACTTCTTTATTATCATCTGTGCTACACGCTTCAAAATCAATGATGTGCAACTGGCTACAGCAATTAAAAAAATGAAGAAGAATTTCTACTTTGTCCGATCTAAAGTGGATAGTGATTTATATAATCTAAAAAGAATTAAACCCAGAGAATTCAATAAGGATGAAATCCTGCAAAAGATCCGCAATGACTGTGTGAAACATCTGATGGAGGCCAATATGAGTGATGCTCAGGTCTTCTTAGTCTCCAGCTTTGAGTTATCTGACTATGATTTCCAAAGCCTGGAGACCACCCTTCTGAGGGAGCTCCCTTTCCACAAGCGCCACATCTTCATGCAATACCTGCCGATTGTTACCGAGGCCACCATTGACAGGAAGAGGGATTGCCTGAGACAAAAGGTCTGGCTGGAGGCCATTAAAGCTGGAGCATCCGCCTCCATCCCTTTGGTGGGCTACATCGTTGATGACGATGTGGAAACTTTAAAGGATACTTTAACTCTCTACAGGTCTTACTTTGGATTGGATGATATATCCCTGAAAACCATAGCCAAGGACTTGAATGTGTCCGTGGAGAAACTCAAGGCAAACCTAATGTTTCCCCATTTGCTATCAGTTGAAAAGCACGATGAACCATTAGGGGAAAAACTGTTGAAATATGTGGAAAAATTCTGCTCTGTTAGTGGAGGACCCATTGCTGCTGGTATTTACTTTAGGAAGATTTACTATTTGAAAAATTATTTCCTTGACACCGTGGTGAGTGATGCAAAAGTTCTCCTTAAAAAGGAAGAGATTTTTAAGGACCCTGTGGACTCTGAGCAAACCTATCTACATACGAATGTTGGAAATGAAAATGGGAAAAGCGACACATCCAGCTCCTGAATTATTCTCAGTGCTGGCATGGCAGTGGTCCCTGGAAAAATGCCTTAGGGCTTCCTTCAAACATCTTCACCCACTGCCCTCAAGGTGTATCACAGACATTTCCATAATTCACTCTTGAATAAACCTTGAACTTAGTGACTATTATTTGACAGTGAGAATAATGAGCTCTAAAGAATCCTTCCTTCATATGATCCTTCCTGGGAAAATGAAAGAGAGGACTCTGGAATTTTCTGCTACTGGAGAGAATAACTCTGTGTGATGGTTGTTTCATAACCCAGCACTGGTATTTCTACTGACATAGTAGTAAAAAATGGCTATGCACATAGTGGGTTCTGAAAAATGGATTTTTATATAAATGGGTACATAATACATCTTTGGTGTTCTGACACTCTGTAATGAATCCATACATTCTTTTTCTTAAAGTCTTTATTTAAATTCCAGTTAGGGAGCAGACAGTGTAATATTAATTTCAAGTATATAATATAGTGGTTCAACACATCCATGTAATACCCAGTGATCATCACAAGTGCACTCCTTAATTTCTATCTCCTGTTTAACCCTTCTTTTCAGTCACTTCCCTTCTGGTAACCATTAGTTTCTTCTCTATAGTTAAGTGTCTCTTTCTTGATTTGCCTTTCTCTGTCTTTTTTTTTTCCCGCTTTGCTCATTGTTTTGTTTCTTAAATTCCACACATGAATGAAATAATATATATCTTCACTGACTGACATTTCACTTAACATAATCTTCATCCATGTTATTATAAATGGCAAGATTTCATTCTTCTTTATGGCTGAGTAATATTTCATTATATCTATATCCATGTCTTTATCAATATCTATATATCATATCTTAATCCATTGATCAGTCAGTGGACACATGGGCTGTTTCCATTGTTTGGCTATTGTAGATAATGCTGCTATAAACATTGGGGTCATATGTCTTTTAATTAGTATTTTTATAATTTTGGGGTATATACCTAGTAGAACAATTGCCGGATCATTGGGTGCTTCTATTTTTAACTTTTTGAGGAACCTCTATACTGTTTTTCAGAGTGGTTGCGCCAGTTTGCATTTCTACAAATGGTTCAAGGGGATTCCCCTTTTTCCACATCCTCACCAACACCTGCCATTTTATTGTGTTATTGATTTTAACCATTCTGTTGGGTACAGGTTGATATATCATTGCAGATCTGATTTGTATTTCCTTGATACTGTGTGATGTTGAACATCTTTTCATGGATCTGTTAGCTATCTGGATATATTTTTTGGAAAAATGCCTACTCATGTCTTCTGCCCATGATTAATAAGATTATTTGCTATTTGGATGTTGAGTTTTATATTCTTTATACATTTTGGATACTACCCCTTTATCAGATATGTCATTTGCAAATATATTGTCCCAGTTCAGAGGTTGCGTTTTAGTTTTGTTGATTGTTTCCTTCACTTTGCAGAAGCTTTTTGTTTTGATGAAGTCCCAATAGTTTATTTTTGCTCCCTTGCCTCAGGAGACTCTTCTAGAAAGAAGTTGCCAAAGCCAAAGTCAGAGAAGTTACTACCTGTGTCCTCTTCTAGGATTTTTATGGTGTCAGGTCTCACATTTTAATCCATTTTCCATTTATTTTTGTGTATGGTGTAAAGAAATGGTGCAGCTTCAGGAAATGTCTCTGGTGTGTGCTTCATGTTGTGTTTTGGCTGCTTTGTCCTTCAGGCCAATTATCTGTAGAGGCTCTCCCTGCCTGCAGTAGGCAATGTTTGGTCCTTATCCTAAATGTCGTGAGTTTTAACTAGGCATATTCTGGTCTTCTTGTGAAATGAGACCTAGCACCACCTCCATGAGAACTGATGCCCTGCAGAACCCTGGTCAGTGGGAGACCTCAGGTAGGCAGGGGTTTGTGCTGGTCTTCTGGTGGAGGAGCCTGTCACACTGGGGCTGATGGAAGCCTGACTAATAAGGGCACTTCCATTGGAGCTCAGGAGTGTGGGGCTTGGTATATGCAAGTCAAGCAGCCAGTGTTGGCACTGTGCTGTTTCCTGTTGGTGGCTCTACATTTATGCTGAGGGGTGAGAGAGAGAATTGATAATGGCCACTTCCTTTGTTCCCAGGGAAGTGTCTCCATGATGTAGATTCTCAGGGAGTGGTCTGACCAGATTGAATCATTTCCCCACTGTGTACCCCAGGTGCTATTTAGATCACTGTTTCCAAGCTGTCTGTCCTGGAGTTGTTTCCCTGTATTGTCTCTAGGAACAGTGCAGTGCCTTCTGGGCTCTAACCTAGTGAAGCCCACTGACTTTTAAGACTCCGGGCTTTAAGCCCCACTGATTTCAAGAACTCATGACATTCAGATACTCTTATTTCCCAAGCCAGTCGCTTTGGGGAAATATTCTCCTTGTACCTTATCCTGTGCACTCCACTCTCTTGTCCTTCTCTATAATCATGCCTCCTACCCCTCCTAAGCACCTGCAATCCCTTTCTCCCCCAAACCACACAGTTCTGCACTTCCTATCTTCTTTGATGTAACCTCTTCTCTCCTTTAGTCATGGGGTTTAGTTCTGCAGTCTTTGTGGTCTATTTATGGGGTATTTAGGATGATTTGATTACTATCTAGTTGCATTCACAGGACAAAGTGAGCCTAGGGTCCTCCTACTCTGCCACCATTTTCCTCTCCAAAACATTTGCTTTCATTCATGAATGTATAAATTCTGATTGTTAATAGATCATCAGTTATGTTGACATATCTTCCTTATCCTTTCTAGGGTTATCATTGTATTTAATAAACATAAAAGATAGTGAGATGAACATGTGTCACAGAAAATGAAAGAGAAACATAAGCTAAGGAAAATATTTATCTGGGATATTTGTGAGAGAGAATTATATAAGATAGGAACATAGTTAAAGGATTTGCATATTGTGTGTCTAGACACCCCTTGCTTGCTAGCAGTATATTTTGTGCCTAAACTTGAGAAGTTAAGGAAAAAGGAACAAGAGGATTGTGACAACAATATGGAAATTTTAAAAAAATTTTCAAAAGGTCCTTAAACATATCCAATCCCTTGTCTAATAAGGGAAATGCAAATTAGAAATGATATCTACCCTAAGATATCGCTTATGCCCTGTGAGATTGGGGGAAACTGCAAAGTTGGTGAAACTGTAGAAAAATAGTTTTTGTCATACAATGCTGGTAGTTGCACAAATGACATAATCTATAATGGTGAATTACACCATCTCTAGGGAAATTACAAACACATTTACACTTTGCCCACTGATCATACTTTGAAGAATCTGGGCCATAAAAACTGAGAGTAGATTGGTGGTTGGCAGGGCTGTGGGGAAAATGTGTAATGCTATTGAAAGAGTATTAGCTTTCAGTTATAAGATGAATGTAACTATAGTTAACATACTGTGTTTTATACTTGAAATTTGCTAAAAGTATAGATACTAATTATTCTCACCACACACACATAAAATATAAATATGTAGATGGCGGTTGTATTGGTTAACTTGACTGTGGTAATCATTTCACCAAATATATAAATATATCACATCATCACATTGTGCACTTGAAATACATATGATTTTTTCTATCATTTTTATCTAAATAAAGCTGAGGGGAGAATTAAAAAACTGGAAAAATTACAAAGAGATACACATTTAAAGTTATTCATTGCAGCACTATTTGAAATGGTAAAGCACAAAGTTGAAATGTTCTTTAATAGGAAATGTTGTAGCCACAAAATAGATCACTTGACAACTATACAAAAGAGTGAGTAATACCATGTATATTGCTATGCTCTCATATCCAGGATATATTGTTTATTGTTCAATGTAAAAAGATGGAGAATTACATGTATAGTATGTTAGTGATGATCTAAGACAGTTCAAAATATAAATATATATTTGCACATATTCTTCAATTAAACATGAGAAAACTTTAGAATAAAAGTCAATTATCTATAGGGGAAGTAATGGTAATGGGTGGAGAGGCAGTGTAAGAACTAGATTTCATTTAATGCAACTTATTTTACATTGGAACTATGCAAATGTTTTACATAGATATATAACTGTATAATTAGATAAACATCCAACATAGAAATACAAATCAAATCAAATTAATCTAAGCTAATGGGTGGTCTAAAAAAGCAGATTTTTAAAAATATGATTGATGATAATCTTAAAAATTCCTGTATAATTAGAATTAAGTTGGCAGAGGAGTAGGGGGACTCTAATTTGTCACATGCCTTGAATACAGCTACATAGTTATCAAATCATTCTGAATACCTGAGAAATCAATCAGAGATATGACCTACATGTAGAAGAACAACCACCTTTTGGAAGCTAGGAGGTATGGAGACTTGAACCTGGGGTGATATAACTGAGGATATGGCAGAGGGGAGGGAACCTGCTTAAGGAGGCAAAGTATTATAAGCAGAGGATTGCAAAATCAGAATGTTTAAAAGTCCACTACAATGAGGGATGTCCCTGGCTTAAAGGTGCTCGGGTGGTGAATCAGGGCAGAATCATAGGTATGACAGTGTGGTCTCAGGATTCCCAGAGTTATAAGAAGAATGGGGGATTTGCCTGAGTGGAGCAGAGTTCCCAGGCATCAGAGTGGGGAAGCTGTGCCAGCTTTCTGCTCTATGTTGACACAAACTGCAAACTGCTTCATGGTTGTGCCATCGCTTTTCTGCAAGGGGCCTAGCAAAAAGCAGAAGTGTGGTGAGATCCACTCTCTCCCCCAGGAGGAATAGAATGGGTTCTAGGCACAGTAGTCCATAAAATTTGGAGTTTTGAAACTCAGTCGTGCACCTGAGATAAAAATATTTGGTCACAGCCTGGATGAACAGAGCTCTGATGGAAACCAGGGAGACAAGAGTGACTGCTTTTCTGTGAGGGTTGACTGAAGAGTAGAAGGTGTGAACTTTCAGCTCTGGGGATAGAGAGTGGGGCACTGCCATATCCATCCCACAGATCAACGTTGAAAGACTTCAGGGAGCAAACAAGCTCTACATATTGGAATCCAGAGCCACTTACACTAAACATGGCCTCTGCACAAGGGAGATGCATATGCAGCAGGACAAGTCCACTTGAGAATCAGTGCAACAGGCCCCTCCCCAAGAAGGCCTGCACAAACAACTGGCTCGCACCAAGTTTGCTGATCATAGAAGGCCGCAAAGCTTCAGCTCTTGGGGAAAACAGTATATAGCATTCCTTCTATTTTAGTTCTTTAATTATTTAGTATTATTTCTTCAATTATTTTATTTTTTACTGTTTTAAATTTTATTTTTATATACACATTTTGTATATTTTTAAATTTTTTGTGTTCTTTCATTGTATTTTATTATATATATAATATATATACATGTTTTTCTTTCTTATTTTGGAATCTAGTTTCTTTTTTTTAAATTTTTTAAAAAATTTATTTATGATAGTCACAGAGAGAGAAAGAGAGAGAGGCAGAGACATAGGCAGAGGGAGAAGCAGGCTCCATGCACCGGGAGCCTGATGTGGGATTCGATCTCGGGTCTCCAGGATCGCGCCCTGGGCCAAAGGCAGGTGCCAAACCGCTGCGCCACCCAGGGATCCCCGGGAACCTAGTTTCTTTTAACTAGCAGACCAAACCATACCCAGAATCTGGTGTTTATTTTGTCATATTCTGTTTTTTGCTTTTTTTTATTCTGTTGTCAGTGTTGTTATTTTCGTTTTTTTTCTCTTTCGTCTTTACTTTTTGGATAAAATAAAGAGATAGAGAAATTCACCCCAAAAGAAAGAACAGAAAGCAGTACTCACTGAAAGGGATTTAATCAATATGGATATAAGTAAAATATCTGAACTAGGATTTAAAACAATGATTATAAAGATAATAGTTGGGTTGAAGAAAGTATATAAGATACTAGAGAAACTCTATTGTAAAAGTAAAAGAACTATAATTTAAAAATGCAATTACTGGGATGCAGTCCCAAGTGGAGGCCGTAAAAGCAAGGATGAATGAAACAGAAGAGTGAATCAGTGATACAGAAAATTAAATGATGGAAAATAAGGAAGCTAAAAAGGAGAAAGATCACAAAGGGAGACTTAACTCAGTGATTCCATAAAGTGAAATATCAGTACCATAGGGGTCGCAGAAGATGAGGAGTGGGAGAAAGGAGCAGAAGATTTATCTGAACAAATTATAGCTAAGAATTTCACTAATCTGAGGAAGGGAACAGCTGTTGAAGTCTAGGATGCATAAGAAATCCTATCAGAATCAATAAAAATAGGTCAGCACCTCAACATATTCTAGTGAGGCTTGCAATATTCAAAGATAAAGAGAAAATCTTGAAAGCAGCTTAGGACAAGAGATCTTTAATCTACAAGCATAGAAATAAAAGCCTGGCAGAAGACCTGTCCACAGAGACCTGGCAGGCCAGAAAGAACTGGCATGATATATCCAAGGTACTAGATAAGAAAAATATGCATCCAAGAATACTTTATCCAGCAAGGCTGTCATTCAGACTAGAAGGAGAGATAGTTTCCAGAAAATACAAAAACTAAAGGAATTTGTAATCACTAAGACAGCCCTGCAAGAAATATTAAAAGGGATCCTTTGGGTGGAGGGAGATCCCAAAAGTAAGAAAAACCAGAAAGGAACAGAGACCATTGACATTAACAGTAGCTTTACAGGTAATAAAGTGGCACTAAATTCATAACTTTCAATGATTACACTGAATGTAAATGGACTAAATGCTCCAATCAAAAGACATAAGGTATCAGAAGAGATAAAAAAAAAAAAAAAGAAGACCCATCAATATGCTGCTTACCAGAGGCACATTTTAGACCAAAAGATACCTTCAGATTGAAAGTGAGGGGATGGAGAACCACCTATCATACTAATGGACATCAAGAGGAAGCTAGAGTAGCCATTCTTATATCAGACAAACTAGATTTTAAGTTGAAGGCCGCAATAAGAGATGAAGAAGAACACTGTATCATAAAAAGTTTTGTCCAACGAGATCTAACAATTATAAATATTCATCCCCCTAACTTAGGAGCTTCCAAATATATAAACAAATTAATAACAAAATTAAATATCCTCATTGATAATACAGTAATAGTAGGGGGCTTTAATACCTACTAATATATATCAAAAGAAAGCTAGGATAGAAATTATTATTTCAGGCAAATTAAAATTTATCTTATTTATTTTTAAAAAATATATATTTATTCATGAGAGACACAGAGAGAGAGAGAGAGAGAGAGAGAGAGAGAGAGAGAGAGAGGCAGAGACACAGGCAGAGGGAGAAGCAGGCTCCATGCAGGGATCCCAATGTGGGACTAGATCCCAGGTCTCCAGGATCACACCCTGGGCTGAAGGTGGTGCTAAACTGCCTAGCCATCTGGGCTGCCCTCAGGCAAATTAAATTTTAAACCAAAGACTGTAATAAGAAATGAAGAGGGACACTATATCATACTTAAAGGATTTATTCAACATGAAGATGTAACTATTGTATTTATTTATGCTCCCAAATTGGGAATAGCCAATTATGTAAACCAAGTAATAACAAAATTAAAGAGACACATTGATAATAATACAATAATAATAAGGGACTTTAACACCCCACTCATAGCAACCAACAGATTATCAAAGCAGAAGATCAGCAAGGAAGCAAGAGCTTTGAATGATACACTGGAACAAATGCACCTCACAGATATATACAGAGCATTCCATCCTAATACAACAGAATACATATTCTTCCTGTGTGCACATGGAGCATTCTCCAGAATAGACTACATACTGGGTCACAAATCAGGTCTCAACTAATACAAAAAGTTTGAGGCATACCATGCATATTTTTAGACCACAATGCTATAAAACTTGAAGTCAACCACAAGAAAAGTTTTAGAAAGGCCACAAATACACAGGGGTTAAAGAACATCCTACTAAAGAATGAACAGGAAATTAAGGGAGAATTTTAAAAATGCATGGAAACAAATGAAAATGAAAGCAAGAGAGATTGAAACCTTTAAGATGCAGCAAAGGGAGTCCTCTTTAAAAATTTTTTTAACTTGTTAATGATACACACAGACAGAGGCAGAGGGAGAAGCAGGCTCCCTGCAGGGAGCCTGTTGTGGTACTTGATCCCAGGACCCCAGGATTGTGACCAGAGCCAAAGGCAGATGCTCAACCACTGAGCCACCCAGGTGCCCCAGCAAAGGAGGTCCTAAAAGAGAAGTACATAGCAATACAGGCCTTCCTCAAAGAAACAAGAAAAGTCCCAAATACACAACCTAACTTTACACCTAAAGGAGCAGGAAAAAGAATAGCAAGTAAAGCCTAAATCCAGCAGGAGAAGAGAAATAGTAAGGATTAGAGCAGAACTCAGTGATATTCAATTTCCTTGGTGTTGGTAGTCATCTCTCCTTTCTCATTCATGATTTTATTAATTTGAGTCTTCTCTCTCTTCTTTTTAATAAGGTTGGCTAATGGTTTATCTATCTTATTAATTCTTTCAAAGAACCAACTCCTGGTTCTATTGATCTGTTCCACAGTTCTGGTCTCAATTTCGTTGAGTTCTGCTCGAAACTTAATTAACTCTCTTCTTCTGCTGGGCATCGGGTCCATTTGCTGTTTTTTCTCTAGCTCCTTTATGTGTAAGGTTAGCTTTTGTATTTGAGTTCTTTCCAGTTTTTGAATGGATGCTTGTATTGTGATGTATTTCCCCCTCAGGACTGCTTTTGCTGCATCCCAAAGATTTTGAACGGTTGTATCTTCATTCTCATTAGTTTCCATGAATCTTTTTAATTCTTCCTTAATTTCCTGGTTGACCCTTTCATCTTTTAGCAGGATGGTCCGTTAAGGACCACGTGTTTGAGGTCCTTCCAAACTTCTTGTTGTGATTTAGTTCTAAGGGAGAAGAAATGGGTTAGAAATATCAGAAAGAGAGACAGAACATAAAGACTCCTAACTCTGGGAAATGAACTAGGGGTGGTGGAAGGGGAGGAGGGCGGGGGGGGGGGTGGGTGTGACTGGGTGACGGGCACTGAGCGGGGCACTTGATGGGATGAACACTGGGTGTTATTCTGTATGTTGGCAAATTGAACACCAACAAAAAATAAATTATTTATTTATTATTTTATGATAGTCACACACACACACAGAGAGAGAGAGAGGCAGAGACACAGGCAGAGGGAGAAGCAGGCTCCATGCACCGGGAGCCTGACGTGGGACTCGATCCGGGGTCTTCCAGAATCACGCCTTGCGCCACCCAGGGATCCCTAAATTTATTATTTAAAAAAAGAAAACAAATATCATTCTCAATGGGGAAAGACTGAGAGCTTTTCCCCTAAAGTCAGGAACACAATAGGGGTGCCTACTCCGACCTCTGTGAGCACCAACATAGGACTAGAATTCCTAGCCTTCTTAGAAATAAAAGGCATTTAAATCGGCAAAGAAGATGTCAAACTCTCATACTTGGCAGATGACATGATACTTTATGCAGATATCAAAAAAAAAAAAAAAAAAAAACCTCTCCACCCCAAAATTGCTAGACCTAATACAGAAATTCAGCAATGTGTTAGGATAGAAAATCAACAGGCAAAAATTAATTGCATTTTTATACACTAAGAATGAGACAGAAGAGAGAGAAATTAAGGAATCATTTCCTTTTACAATTGCACCAAAATCTATAAGATACCTAGGTATAAACCTAACCAAAGAGGTAAAAGACCTATACTCTAAAACTACAGAACACTTATGAAAGTAATGGAGGAATACACAAAGAAATGGAAAACCATTCCATGCTCTTGGATTGGAAGAAAAAATATTGTGAAAATGTCTTTGCTACCCAGGATAGTCTAAACATTAAATGCAATCCTTATCAAAACACCATCAAAATTTTTCACAGAGCTGGCACAAATAATCCTAATATTTGTAGGGAACCAGAGAAGACCCTGAATAGCCAGAGGAATGTTGAAAAAGAAAACCAAAGCTGAGGGCTTCTCAATGCCTGACTTCAAGCTATATTCCAAAGCTGTGATCATCAAGACAGTGTGGTACTGGTGCAAAAACATAGCTCAATGGAGCAAGATAGAAAACCCAGATATGGAACCTAAACTCTAATCTTCAACAAAGCAGGAAAGAATATCTAATGAAAAAAGTCTCTTCAACAAATGGTGTTGGGAAATTTGGACAGCCACATGCAGATGAAT